ATGACAAAATAAGAGTATAATAATTGTTCCACAAAAATTCAGATATTTATAAACAGTTGAAAAAAAAAAGCCATCTAAAAATGGTAAAGGTAAAACTATGATACAAAATATCATTCTAATTAGGATCAAAACAAATATTAATATTTCAAAACAAGAAAAAAAGTACCTGAAAATTGCCTAATGATTCACATCAACAAGAGGCAATTGGTAAAGAAAAATTACTTTTCCATGATATATATATAGCTAAAGATTTATAGGATAAGATGAAAAGGTGAAGAGTTGTTTAAGTTAATTTTCAGAAGTTAATGATCTTAGACACGGGGGAGAGGAAAGGTTGATTGTTTTTACTAGTAATTTAATACATTTAATTACACTAATTATAGATAAAGGATAACAAATTTAATTCATTTAACCACACTAATTATAGAAAAAGAATAAAGAATAAAGGATAAACACTTTAATTATCTTTTTTTTTTTTTATAAAAACACGTTATTTAATTAACAAATTTAATCCATTTAAACATAACCTTTCTTAAAAGAATTAGATAAAAGCGTTTTTATAAAAAAATAAGTAATTCCTAACAACTTTCTATGAAATAATTTCTAACAATTTTCTATGAAATATTTTTGTCTTTCAAAGTTTGACTTTACACCTTCTTATTTATAGTATTTAGTATACGATAATATAATTATTACTTAGTAATTAAATAATTAGATATTTAATGATATTTTAATTTAGTTTAAGGGTAATATGGTAATTCAACTTTGCATAATGGAACTTTCCACTTATAATAATAATATATGATATGATATGATGATATATTTGAATTTCATGTTATTTGTGCCTAAGCTAATATATGCGGAACCCCGCGTTTTTAAAATATGATGTTGATTCTTTAAGAAATTACATAACTTTTTTGAAAAATCTGAGCTAATGAGTGGCTGTGTAGATCACTTTTTTTCAACTTGAAACAGAAACAGATTAACATAACCATTGATACTAAAATAACACACATGCATATAATTATGTTTCTATCAAACATATACAACACAACAAACAGAAAATTAAAACACACAACCAAAAAAGTTCAATCAAACAAAGACAACTTGGCCCCTCTCAATCTTCCATTAAGTTCGTCGTCTCTGAGCTCTCTTCTTCGGCCTTGTTCTTTCGTGAGGCATGAGTCCATCAAAAATTCCACAAACCATTTTGGCTTACGATATTTGAACATGAGGCTCCACATGACAGTTCCAACAACTAGTCCACAACTGTAGCCTATGACTACTGATTCCCATGTAAATCCACTAAAAAATATGACTCGCTTTCATCTTCTTCAGACTCCAATGGTTGAGGAACATGTGATGAATCACTCGTTCCACATTGTTTTGATAAAGGAGGACCACATAAATCAAGGTTGCCGCCATACGAGTCATTTTCAAATGTGTTGAATTGTAGACCGTGAGGAATTGGTCCGACGAGATGATTTTGAGAGACGTTCAAGAAGGCCAGAAAGTTCAGTCTTGTCAATTCTTGTGGAATCTTTCCAGTGAGCCGATTCCAAGAGAGATCTAAAGCTTCAAGCATACTCAATTGTCCTAGTTTTATTGGAATATCACCTCTTAGATTGTTATGAGATAAATTGAGTAGCCAAAGTGATATGAGATCCTTCAGTGTTTTCGGAATGACACCTTCAAAATGGTTGCTTGAGAGATCTATGGTTGTCGTTATTGTGCTGATTCTTTGTAGCTCAATATCCCGCCCTTTGATTACCAAACTCACTGAATCCTCATACGATGTGACAAATGACGAATTCAACACAGATTCCATGTACTTGATATTTCCTGTGTCTTCACCATCTAATTTGATCATTGCCTTGAAGTTTCCAAAAACGTTTGCAGGAAGTGAGCCACTGAAATCATTACGAGAAAGATCAAAAATTCACAACTTGGGAAAGCAAAACTTAGTCTAACACATACTTATAGGTCCATGGAACTTGTTCGACTTTAATATAAGGACCTGTAGCTCTTGAAGAGTTCCGAGCCAAATTTTATGGGAAAAAATGCTTAAAGCTAGAGATCTCATTGAAAACCAAATTTTATGGAAAATGGAGAAAGGATCAGTATCAGTCTGGCATGATAACTGGACGGGCCTAGGGGATTTGTACACTATTACTGGAGAAGAATTTCAATGTGATGATACATATAAAACAGTTAGGGATTTAACTAGACAAGGGGAGTGGGATACAGAGGTACTACATGAGATACTCCCACAGGAATTGGTGAACCATATTCTGCAGAATATTCATCCTCCAAAAGAAGAAACAGCAATGGATAAACCTTGTTGGATGCTAGAGACAAGGGGAAGTTTCTCAGTTAAATCTGCTTGGCATTATATCAGACATAAGGCGGAGGAAAACAAAATTTATAAATGGATGTGGAGTAAGGGTGTACCATTTAAAATGGCTTTCATAATGTGGAGATTATGGAAATTTAAAATCCCCGTTGATGACATAATGAGAAGATGGGGTCTTGAAGGCCCATCCAAATGCTGGTGTTGTGAAAGACCTCAACATGTGTTTCTGAAATCTGATTCAGCTAACAGGACTTGGTCCTATTTTTGTTCTTTTACAGGTCTTAACATGGAGGGTCTCCAACTAAGAGAAGTTATAATGTTGTGGTGGGGGACAAAAATTGGGACAAATATGAGACCTTTTTACAGAGCTCTTCCTAGTTTTATAATATGGGAATTGTGGAGAAAGAGAAACAGGATGAAGCATGAAGGAAAAAAGACATCAGTAGCAAGAGTCATTCACAATATCACCAGGAACATGTATATGCTGGTAAGACTCAGGAAACCCTATATGACATGTCCTGTTAACTGGCCTGATATGCTCATAGAATGGACAAGCTACAAACCTAAAATGAAAGTGAAAAGGGTCTTATGGGAATTCCCACCAAATGGGTGGGTAAAATACAATACAGATGGAACTTCTAGAGGAAATCCGGGTCTTAGTTCCTATGCCTTCGTTTTGAGGAATGCTAAAGGAGATGTAGAATACGTGGAAGGAGCAAGTATAGAAAATACTACTAATAGAGTCGCGGAAGCTAAAGCTATTCTGGAGGAATCCAAGCATTGCAAGAAGTTACAACATAATCAAATAATCATACAGACTGACTCAATGCTTTTGTACAAGGTATTAGAAAGGAAATGGGAATGTCCATGGATAATTGCAGAAATGGTGACAGAGATTCAATCATGTCTACAAGATAAACAAGTTATTTTCCAACATATTCTAAGGGAAGGAAACAAGCTAGCAGATCATGTGGCAAACTTTGCTATTGACCGAGGGAGCTGCACATTCACAAATTTTAACAGGGAGACACTTGCGAGGAGACTCATAAATAATGAAAAATTACTATGCCCATATTTAAGAGTATCATCCTTAAGGGGATAGGGGACAAGGGAAGGCTACAACATATATTTTTCCACAAACAACAAAATTACATAGAAGTTAGAAGGCAACAAAACAGGGAAAATGCTATTGCTATTCCAGTCAACAAAGCGATCTCAGCAAAAGGGAGGATCTGGAGTCAAGATGGAGCTTTTAACCTGGAGATGGAGGAATTGAACTACCCTTGCACTCCATCGCAAAATCACTTGCAGAATGATGGGAATCAGAGACCAAAAGAGGGAGAGAAGAAGAAAAGAAAGCAAGAGGAAGAAAATTTTGAACACAACTGGAAAAAAGCATAAAGGTCAGTAACATGGAGGCAACATTGTTGTTCATGTACAGAAACAGTGAAGAGAGCTAAGGCGAAGAAGCGGAGATAGCGGCGAAAATCCTATCTTAGAATATCAGGTTTACGAAAGGGCCTGGTCTATTTGTTGTTTTTTCCATTTTTAATAGTGGGCTTGACAAGGTTGGACACTCGCTGTTGGGGTGTAAGGAGGTGTAATTTCTTGTTTTGATTTTGGAAGCTATGAATAAAATATCCAAAACTTAAACCAAAAAAAAAAAAAAAAAACAAAAAAACAAACAATATGAATTAGTTGTTGAACAACCGGAGACATCTTTTGTCATGAAGTATAAATATATGTAAAAAATCTACCAAAATCAAAATCATGAAAGTTGATACTGAGTTAGAGAACATTTTAAGGCTGATTTATGATTAGAAAGATGCAAAACCACAAAATTATTAGCCAATTCTGTAGTTTTGAGTACTCTTCTATATCAATTTTTCAAAAAATTAACTTTCTAATATCAAGTGATTTCAATCATAAACCAAACTGATCAATTTGCTTACTGCTTTGCTTTCTCCTGTTTTGTTATGCTGAGCTATGTTGCTCCGACTCTCCTAAAAATAAAATGATGTTGCATTTGTGTTGGTTTCATAAAAAATGCACTACTTTTGAAGAATCCAATACGTAGCAGTTGACATTTTAAAAGAGTCTGAGTAACATAACTAATGAATGGCTTTGTAGATCACTTCTATCAACTTGAAACAGAAACAAACTAACATAACACACATATAATTATGTTTCTATCAAACATATACAAACAACAAACAGAAAATTGAAAAGACAAAAACAGAACCAGAAAAGTTCACTAATTAGTCCACAAAATCAAACAAAGATAAGTTGGCCCTCTCAATCTTCCATTAAGTCCGTCGTCTCTGAGGTCTCTTCTTTGGCCTTCTTCTTTTGTGAGGCATGAGTCCATCGAAAAATTCCACAAACCATTTTGGCTTACGATATTTAAACATGAGACTCCACATGACAGTTCCAACAACTAGTCCAAAACTGTAGCCTATGACTACTGATTCCCACGTAAATCCACTAAAAAAATATGACTCGCCTTCTTCTTCGGACTCCAATTGTTGAGGAACATGCGATGAATCACTCGTTCCACATTTCTTTGTTAAAGGAAGACCACATAAATCAAGGTTGCCACCGTACGAGTCATTTTCAAATGTGTTGAACTGTAGAACGTGAGGAATTGGTCCAACGAGATGATTTTGAGAGAGGTTTAAGACTGCCAGAAAGTTCATTCTTGTCAATTCCTGCGGAATCTTTCCAGTGAGCCGATTCCAGGAGAGATCTAAAGCTTCAAGTGTATTCAATTGCCCCAATTCCATTGGAATATGACCTATGAGATTGTTATGGGATAAATTGAGTAGCCAAAGTGAGCTGAGGTCCTTTAGTGTTTCCGGAATGACACCTTCAAAATGGTTGCTTGAGAGATCTATGGTTGTCATAATTGTGCTGATTCTTT